GTGTGTGTGTGTGTGTGTGTGTGTGTGTGTGTGTGTGTGTGTGTGTGTGTGTGTGTGTGTGTGTGTGTTTTAAGCATTGAACCCAGTAGGACACAGTGGTTGTGATTCAACAGATCTGTCATTAACCTGATTTATCTTGCTGATAGAACCTAGTATAGCACCTGGAACTTAGTAGGCTTTCAATAAATCCTTGGCAAATAAATGAATCAATATATTATATATATACTATATTTTAATCATTTCAATTATTATTTCTTTAGGGAACCTCATTTGAATGTATAAAATATGTAGGCCAGGTGCAGTGGCTCAGGCTTGTAATCCCAGCACTTTGGGAGGCCAACATGTGCAGATCACTTGAGGTCAGAAGTTCACAGTGAAACCCTGTCTCTACTAAAAATACAAAAATTTGCTGGGAGTGGTGGTGTGTGCCTGTCTGTAATCCAGCCTATTCAGGAGGCTGAGACAGGAGAACCACTTGAACCTGACAGGCAGAGGTTGCAGTGAGCTGAGATCATGCCACTGCATTCCAGCCCAGGCAAGAGAGTGAGATTCCATCTCAAAAAAAAAAAAGAAAAAGAAAAAGAAAAACAATATAAGGTATATGTTTTATCCCAGACACTTTACTTTGGGATCTAAACAGGTATTGGCAAATTCTTTCTGTAAAGGGCTAAATAGTAAAGGTTTTAGGCTTTGTGGGCCATAGGGCCTCTGTCACAAACACTCAACTCTGCTGTTATGCAAAAGCATCCATGGACAATATGCAAATGAATGCTTGTGGCTGTGTTCTGATAAAACTTTATTCACAAAAACAGAATAGAGGGGTTCACAGGTCATGGTTTGCCAACCCCTGGCCTAGAAAATTCATTGCATCTAAATCATCTCAACTGATACCCTCTCTACTGTAGTTACTAAGGTTGCAGGCAGAGTATGAGAAAAAAATAATCACCATCTAAGAATGAACTGTCCAATATGATTACCACTAGCCACATGTGGCTATGGAGAACTGAAATGTGGCTAGTTTGAATTGAGATGCATGTTAAATGTAAAATACACATTTGAATTGTGAAGATTTCACATAAAATAAAGAATAGAGCTGAGCATGGCAGCCCACACCTGTAGTCCCAGATACTAGGGAGGATAAGGCAGGAAGAATCCTTTGAGGCCAGCCTCAGCAACATAGCAAGACCCTAGTCTCCAAATATTAAAAGGTATATAAAATATATCATTCATTATTATTTCATACTGCTGACATATGGAAATAATATGTTTGATATATTGGGAACATTAAAATTTATTTCTTTATTTTTATTTTTTAAATGTGAGCACTAACAATTTTAAATTACATATGTGGCTTGCATTATGTTTCTATTGGGCAGCACTGCTCTAAGATAGAATAGTTACAAAAGAGAGAATGCCTAACAGATTCAGTCTTTTTTAGCACTGCAAACAAAATACTTTACCCAATTATCAATGTCTCTTCAAGTATGCTATGTATCGTGACTTCTATGCTATGTAAGAATTAACATCAAGGCCGGGCACGGTGGCTTACACCTGTAATCTCAGCACTTTGGAAGGCCAAGGCAAGTGGATCACCTGAGGCCAGGAGTTTGAGACCATCCTGGCCAACATGGTGAAACCCCGTTTCTACTGTAAATACAAAAATTAGCTGTGTGTGGTGGTGGTGGCCTTTAGTCACACCTGGGAGGTTGAGGCAGGAGAATCGCTTGAACCCAGGAGGCGGAGGTTGCAGTGAGCTGAGATCATGCCATTGCACTCCAGCCTGGGTTTCAAAAAAAAAAAAAAAAAAAAAAATCAAAATTGTTAACTCTTCCTCAGCAAGTAACATATTTCACCAATTTATTTCATTATCTCACTTCTTTCTCATTTTCTATACACTATACTTGGCCCTCATTTTCTCCACTGAATTATCAACAGTCTCCTGAAAGGACTTCTTTCTTCCAACCTCTATCCATTATCTTGATACATGATTCTATACAAAGCTACTAGATACTCCTAAACATTATGACACTGTGACTCTCTCCTGATATATATATATATGTAATGGAAGCCACTGAATTTTTACATATGTGTGTGTGTGTGTGTATATATATATATATCCAAACTACTTGGTAGAGTTCTTGAGGGTTTCTAAAATTATTTTTAATCTTCTGTTTTGAATCTTACCTTCTTTCCTACCACTCAGTCAGACATAGGATTGTAGGTAGAATATAGGATGGCTGGTTAAATTTTAAGTTTTTGTATATAATATATATATATAAATATATATATATATATATATATAGTATAATTTTAGTATATTGCTTGGGATATACTTGTTCCAAAAAAAAAAAGTTTATCTAAAATTGAAATTTGACTGGGATGCTCACTTCAGTAGCACATATACTAAAATTGGAACAACACAGAGATTACATGGTACCTGTGCAAGGATGACACAAATTCATGAAGCAGTCCATATAAAACTTTTCTTAAAAGAAATCTACATCTAAATAAGCATACAAATAATCAGCTCAGTGAAAATGTTAACTTTTCGTATTTTTCACAATGATCTGTAAAATTCACTATCAAGCAGTCAAATTTGATTTTTACAGAAAAAAATAGTCCTTTAAGCAGCCTACTACTGTGTTCTCCATGCACAGAAGACTCAAATTATACACGGACTCAAAACTTATTGATGATCAAACAAGAAAATTGTTGGAAATTTACTTAAAGCAAGGTATTTTTAAGAAAACACACACCAAAAAAATACTAAGAACATAGTAAGCACTGGTTCACCTTAGTCAGATTTGTAGTATAGATTCAGGTAGTATAGCACAGACTACCTGAATCTAAATTCGGGCTGTGCTACTTATTAACATGTACCTCTGTATGCCTTAGTTTTTTCAACTATAAAATGAGAGCCCTATCTCCCAAGGTGGCTGTGAGAATTTAGAGAATTAATACCCATTCTATGCTTAGAACAATGCCTGACACATGGCAAATATTCGATAAATGCTAACTCATACTATTCTGAGAATTTCTGAGTTTGGGTGGGCACGGTAGCTCACGCCTGCAATCCCAGCACTTTGGGAGGCCAAGGTGGGCAGATCATGAATGAGGTCAAGCGAGCGAGACCATCCTGGGCAACATGGTGAAATCCCGTCTCTACCAAAAATACAAAAATTAGCTGGGCGTGGTGGCACGTGCCTGTAGTCTCAGCTACTCAGAACGCCGAAGCAGGAGAATCCCTTGAACCCGGGAGGTGGAGGTTGCAATGAGCCAAGATTACACCACTGCACTCCAGCCTAGCAACAGAATGAGACTTGGTCTCAAAAACAAACAAACTTTTAAAAATCAACACATGGGCCAGGCATGGTGGCTCACGCCTGTAATCCCAGCACTTTGGGAGGCCGAGGTGGGCGGATCACCTCAGGTGAGGAGTTTCAGGTCAGCCTGGCCAACATGGTGAAACTCCATCTCCATTAAAAATACAAAACAGGGGGGAGGGGTTAAAAAAACATGAACTGGGCATGGTGGCGCATCTGTGGTCCTAGCTGCTTGGAAGGCTGAGGAAGGAGAATCATTTGAACATGGGAGGCAGAGGTTGCGGTGAGCCGAGATTGTGCCACTGCACTCCAGCCTGGGCATAGAGCAAGACTGCATCTCAAAAATTAAAAAAAAAATTACGAAATAATTACTAGGGTGAGAAATCGATAACTATTTATAGATTTATATAAAATCGGGCAGGGTGACTCACGCCTGTAATCCCAGCACTTTGGGAGGCCAAAGAGGGTGGATCACCTGAGGTCAGGAGTTCTAGACCAGCATGACCAACATGGAGAAACCCCGTCTCTACAAATAAAGTACAAAATTAGCCGGGTGTGGTTGCACATGCCTGTAATCCCAGCCATTTGGGAGGCTGAAGCAGGAGAATCACTTGAACCCAGGAGGCAGAGCCTCCTTGGGTTGTGGTGAGCCAAGATCATGCCATTGCACTCCAGCCTGGGCAACAACAGCAAAACTCCATCTCAAAAACAAATTAATTAGTTAAAATAAAAAATAAGACATGAAGAGAAAGCACTTTGGTTTGCCATATTGTAACAAACTTCAAAGATCCAAATTTCTGCTTCTACAATTTTCCCCTCTCATATGCTATGACCTTTTCAGACTATTCAGCTGTAATGGAAAACAACTTATGGTCATAAGTAACTACTTTCACATAGGTCTTTCTATGAGCTACACGTTGATTTTTTTTTAAAGCTCATTTGTAAATGTCCTGAAAATTTACCTCCATAACTTCTGCTAAATTACTTTGTAATAGTCTAGAATAGTTATAGGTTTCACAACTTTGTAATAAATAGTTTAAAATAGTTATAGATTTCCCAAAAGGAAAAATAGTTATAGATTTCTCACCCTAGTAATTATTTAGTATTATTTAATATTAATATATAACTCTAGGCAAGAAATAATCCATGTGTGAAGCAATTTTCCTAGTTTATATTGTTTAGACGAATAATACTGGAAGAAACCAAATATCATGTACCATATTAGTCTCCAAGTCAATAAAACACTTCCTCTTACAAACTTTCTCAGTATAAAAATAATAGACTCATGACTTAATTACCATAACAGTGGATTAAAAGCCACAGTTAAACAACGTTATCTAAACCTACACCAAACTAATCTAGGTTATCCAGAAGAAAGGGCACTTAACAGAGAATCACATTTAACTTAAATCCAAAGACCAGTAAAACGACCATAAAAATAAGAGAAATATTTAAAATGAAGTGATTCACACAGTTTTAAAGAACTATGTTAAAATCAAAACTGAGAAACTAGATTTCAAGCATTTAAACTCATTTAAAAAAAAATCCAGGTTAGACTACTCAATAACAAGTCTCAGCTAACTAAATGTATAAAATGTGGAAATTCTGTCACTGTGCCCTTAAATTTTTATTAGATTCATTCAACAATGGTCTTTTACTTTCAATTGTTTGATTTTCTATATGTTTATATATATATACATATATTAGTATGTTTTCAAAATTGGCTTTACACTTGGGGTTAAATATTTTTCCTAAGAGCCAGTTAGTAAATATTTTAGGCTTTTCAGGCAATATACTGTCCATCACATATTCATGGTTTTTTCTCACAACTTCAAATCCTTTAAAAATGTAAAACCCATTTTTAGGAGTCCCTATAAAAAACAGGCTGCAGCCAGATTTGACCTTGGCAACTTTTCCCACCTCTGCTTTACACTGTACTATTATCTTTCTATTACTATGTTAATTATACCAATATTAATATTTCCTTGAAGAAATATCTTACCAGTAAGTGCAGAGTAGTGAAACAAAACAAAAATTTCCTTGAAGTATTTGCTCGAACATCACCTCAATGAGGCCTTCTCCGAACACACCTACCTGTTCCCTGATATGTGTGTGTGTATATATATGACACACTGTATAACATATAGCATATCACCTAATTGACTTTGACTTATCATCTGATCTTTGTTCTCTGCCCCCAACCCTTCATTTAAGTTCAATGAATGCAGATTTTTTGTGTTTTTTCACTGTCAATCTTGTGCACCTCAACAGTGCCAGGCATATTAGCAGGCTCTCAATTTAAAAAAAAAATCGGCCGGGCGCGGTGGCTCAAGCCTGTAATCCCAGCACTTTGGGAGGCCGAGGCAGGTGGATCACGAGGTCAACAGATCGAGACCATCCTGGTCAACATGGTGAAACCCCATCTCTACTAAAAATACAAAAAATTAGCTGGGCATGGTGGTGCGTGCCTGTAATCCCAGCTACTCAGGAGGCTGAGGCAGGAGAATTGCCTGAACCCAGGAGACAGAGGTTGCGGTGAGCCGAGATCACGCCATTGCACTCCAGCCTGGGTAACAAGAGTGAGACTCCGTCTCAAAAAAATAAATAAATAAATAAAAAATAAAAATTAAAAAAAATCTACACTCAAACTTATAAAACAAATACTATGGACAAAATATGTATTTTAAAATGAAAGTCAAGGACAAGACTGACAAAAACTTTCAAATTTTTTTCAAGTAGTCATAAAACATTTCAAATAAAGGGAGAAAAGGTTAAAAATCTTCTCATTGTTCCACAAAGTGAGGTTAGTTCTTACAGTCTCATTCTCTTGAAATTTACCATTGCTTGAGTTATATTTAATTGCAAATTTAATTCCTAAATCCCTCTACAGACATGTTCTGCCTTCTTTGATCTCACCTGTGTGTTTCCTGCCTGTTCAACTTACTAATCTAGTTTGACAACTTTAGTTTTTGGCAAAGCAAGAAGTTGCTTTGCTTATTCTATGGCTCCATCTCCCAACATTCCATTTTTGTAAACTCTCTAATACTGTAACCTTTACTAATCCCTACCATTTAATTAAAGCAAAAGGTTACTATTGAATATTAACTCCAAATATATCATGTTCCGTGACTAGTCAGACTTAAAATTTTCTTATAATTGCTGTATGTGATTTTACAAATACAGTTTTTACCTGTAAGGGAAGACACAAGACTTGCCTTACTTGTAATCCTGATACATATTCCACAAGGTATTGAGAAAATAACTTTCAGAATGTTGTAAGCTGTATCACCATTCAGATTATGGCTACTGTATTTCTAAGCTTATATCAAAGCGTAAAAACACACTAAAGAGGAAAATAGTTTCTGTTGCTAACACTGACAAATTGATACTTTGTCACAGTATCTTAACCACAGTATTAAATGTATTAATAAATATTAACATGGAGGTTAAATCATACTAGAGATCACATGAAGACACTCCAAAATCAAACTATTAAAATTGCTGATATAGGAGGAACGGCTTAGAAGAATGTCTTTAAAACCCTTTTATCCAACAAGTTACTCATCTTTTACTTTTCTTTCTTCCGACCTTATCCTGTATGATACTATTTTACTTTCTAAATGAATACAATTCTGCCATTCCTATAGGACAATTTGACCTCTAAAAGAAACTTTAAAATCCAAATGTCTATAGTAAAGAATTAAGACTTAAAAAGACTTAAGGCCAGTTCTTTAGACACAATTCTGTACCTCTAAAAATGCTCAGGTTGTAATTTGGAAAAAACAGAATAAAGACTGCTATGGGACCTCAGTTTTTAAAAATTGTTTAACTGCTGTGTCCTAAATTATCATACAGATTAAGTTTGGTAAAACTAAAACAGGGCGAACCACCTCAAACAGCATTTACGGGAACCAAATTTTTTTTTTTTGTTCTTGAGTCAGGTGACTTCCAAATTAAGTCACTTTTTACCATATACCCTGGAGAGTAACATAGCCCGACACACCACATGTCCCACTTATCTAGTTCAAGCGAGTAACATAACGTAAGAAACTGCACTGTGTAATTCCTTTATTTTCTGCATATTAGTGCTTTACCAACACTACAACCATAAAGAACACAATTCCAAGTACTGTACTTTTTCGTTTGGGGAGATCACAGTCTA